CTTAGTAATGATTACGTTTTTTTTACGTACAATTGTCTTAAAGTTTTCACATAGCTGCCGGACCTAAATTTCCTTTTCGGAGCTATATCCAGTTATCCCTTATTTTGCTACTTTTTCCTGCCTATCGGGCGCCTGCATCGGGTGGAAAACTCCCTGTGTGCTTTTCCGAAAATTTTCAAGTGGAATGTAACAATAAATGTGCATATCAACCTTCAGTGCTATTTATGTTCTCAATAGTCTACTACATCTTAATAGTAGAGATAACAGTAATTGTACAAATTCTTAACCTAGCCTCAATTAAAGTAACTTTTTTATCAGTGTTTAATGAAAACACTATCCCTGAATATTATCATTTTTAGCAAATGTGAAAAGGAAACGAAAATAGCGGAAGTGCTTGCATACATACAGAAAAAAAAAGATCGTCTTTAAGGCAAAGCGAGCTACTCAATCATTCGAACGCAAGCACTGCGGAGTAATTCCGGTGATCCTAACGCACCAAATGAATTCAACAAAAAAAACAATTCGAACGAAAAGAGATTAAACGGGAAAAATATGAATAAACCTGTGATGACTAAAAAGGAATATATAAACAAGGAAACTTTTACTTTGAAACAAACAAACAACGAAAAACAATTTAGGAAAAACTTGAAAAGGCCTGCAATGCATCCATGTGTGATGATGCAGAAAAAAAACGCTAACTCATATCGTCGAAATTTACCTTTCTTCTACAATTAAAAAATGATTATCTTATCTCAACAGAGAAAAAATAATTGCTTGCAATACACTCGCTATCACAAGTGCAAAAATAATAAACTGATTGTTTTTCGTAATTGCATTTTAGTCAATCAAAACAATCAAATCAGAGTTTTTTTTCTACTCATTCCGCTCACATTTGTAGTTCTTTAGCTTTGAAAACAAACACAGAATGTTCCGACCAAAATCTTTAGAAAACTGCGGTTTTGAAAGGTTTGTTTTCACAATTAGTGTACTTTTTTCTGCTTGGTGTGATAAAATGATCTGACTTATAAATATAAATTAGGCATATTAAACAGACAGTCATAGCAAAATAAGCTAATTGGATAAAATTTTTGTAGAAAAATGATTTAAAAAGCTAAAAAATATATATAAACAAATTTTTTCCAAAAAATTTAGCAGACAAATTTTGAATGTTTTGAAGTTTTTTGTTCGCAAAATGAAGCAAAAAAAAACCTCAAAAACAAATTTTAAATGCTTAAAAATAAGTTTTAAGGTCCAAACTTATGTTTTTTTCGCTCGAATTGAGACAAAAAATTAAAAATTTCAATCCAGTTTTTGTAAACATTTTAAAGTGGTTCAAATTAAGACAGAAAGGGCTTCATTTTGATATATCACTCAACCCAGTCCGATTACCGATGATTACTTGTGGTACCTAATTTGCGTTAAAAAAAAAGAAAAAACTGAAATACACCCGAATACAAAATTCCTCCCCATTTTCGATGGTCGGAACAAAAAGTTTTCATCTGTTTGGTTGAAAGAAAAAACTACCGCAACTCATTGTTTCAACGACTCATTCAATTAAAAAAAATAATGCACCATTAAATTATTTTGGGTTTAAATAAAGCAGTCCTGTCTGTAATCAGGCAATTGCTTATTCATTTTCGTCAGTGAAAAGACAAATTTTAAGCAAACCAATTAGAATCAAAGTCGAAAAGCAAACATACAAAATAAATAATTATTTTTAAATATTTCTTTTGTACGTTTACTTTCTTTTCTCGATATTGATGATTGGTTAATGAGGGCTAGGTCAAAACTAGCAGAAAATCAAATAAAGCATGTTGGCCTTGATTTATTCGATTTTTTTGAGACTTTCGCGATCTGCTTGAAACTTTTAAAAACTCAACTCTGATTAACTGAAAAAAAACTGAGAACAAATTTCTCCCGTTTGCCTCATTTTGAAAGACGCCACTAAAAGATCCACAACAACCCAGAAAAAAGGATCAAAATTTTGAAGCCTATGAGAAAATCGGTTTTTCTTCAACAATTCAGACCAATTCATTTAAAAAAAGTTTTATAGTTGCGTGGATTGAACCGGGAATTTTGGATTGCAAAGAGAATGGGCTTGCCACTAGCCTAAATGCTGTTGGTAGTGCTCGATTGACAGTTAGTTTCAATGCTGTTCTGCGGAACTACCCTGCAATCATAACTGTTCTAAACTGAATTAGGGCAAACTAATTGGTCATTATAGTTTGACTCAATTTTGAATCATGTTAACTATTACCCATCCAGTTTCGATTTTCAGAAATTCAACTCTGCTCGCCCATATTTTCAATTGCTTAAAACAGTTTTCAGAAAATATTGATTGAAGTTTTTTATGTAAGTATCAGGGGCGGATCTAAGATTTTCTCGAGGGGGTTTTCGAAAATTTTGACGACCTTTTCTTAGATCGACCAAATTGGTTTTCCGAGTTCTCCTAAAGCACTAAAAAGACAATGTTTTGGCCAATTTTTCTGCGCTACAGGCAACTTTTAGAAAAAAAGGTCAAAAACGCAGTTTTTGGGCTTTTTTTGGAAAATTTTGACAAAAAAATTGCGTTTGGGCGCGCGCTCCCCCTCAAAATTAGTACATGTTGGCGCCAAAGGCGCCTTTAGAAAAGTTTGAGAGTCGGTCCGACAAAAAACGTTTGAAAAGTTTGAGGGTCGGTCGAAACTTTAGAAAAGTTTGAGGGTCGGTCGGTTTTCATTGAAAGTACCAAAGGGGGAACCTTTGGGTTGGCAGGGGGTCAAATCCCTGACCCGCACCGAAGTTTCTCCAATTATTATCTATTATCTGGCAATTTTGTGGTCGAACGAAAAATTGTTTTTTTAATAATCAATTATCTGATGCTTTTGTGGTCGCAGAGTAGAATAATCGATTAAATGGAGAAAAAAAATCCATTAAAAAACTTTAATTTTGTGTCGATTATATTGGAATTATAATAGGTTATAATAGATTCCCGCACCGAGCGCCCATGGATCATAATCAATTATTTTGTCATAATATGGTCCGCAATAAAATGACAAAATAATCGATTATAATCCATTAAAAATGGATTATAATCCTAATATTTTTTTGTCAATATAATCCATTATTATATAATCCATTATTTTAATCGATTATAATGGTTTTTTTTCGAGTGGTTATTCAGGAAATTTACAATTTATTTAAAGTTATCTTATTTCCTGTTTAATGCAGTTTCTACGTATTACGTTTCATAAAATGTTACTTTTCAGAACAAAATTTCTATGATTTTTGGTATCTGTTTTTAAATTCATCGCAGTTGAGGGGCCGAAGGGATGACGTTGAGGCATTCCCGCAATATTTGCAATATTTTGCAAAAATAATCGAATTTAGTTCTAAAAATGAAATGAATTATAATCAATTTTTTATGGATTTTTATATCATATGCTTTTAAGAAGAGAAAAAGTCAACATAATTGATGTTTTGGGTCCTAGATTTTACTGCAATTTTATGGCGATAGAAATAGTTTTTGTTGCGATTTTTTGGCAGTTTTATGGCGAATACAATAGATTTTGTTGCGATTTTATGGCAATTTCAGGGCGAAAAAAAAAAGATTTTGTTGAGGTTATGTGGAGATTAAATAAAAAAAAAAAGTTTTACATAATCGATTATAATGGCAACATTTTCCGCAACATTTTCTCAATATAATCTATTTTTATCCGAGAAACTTCGGAACGGGGAAGAAAGGGAGCGTCCGCCCCCCCCCCCCCCCCCCCCCTAAATACACCCGTGATAGGTATTAAAAAATAGTGAGTAATACAAATACAAACGCTTGAAAATGAAAACCCGATTAATTTTTGAAATTTTGAAATGTATATTTTATACCGTAAATGGTTGTCAAAATTAATACATGCATAGGGGATAGTTAACAAGGTCCAAAAGGGGGGACTCGTTAAAAAGATCCTCTATTTTTACTATTTTTAGCCCTTTTGTTTGTTAGGGTAAATACTTAGTAGTTATTCGTAACAGGCGACAATTCGTAACAAGCAACAATCCGAATTGTCGCCCTCAATTTTTTAGCCTTTTTATTTGGTAGGGCGGCAATTCGTAACAGGCGACATTTCGTACAAGCGACAATTCTAACTGTCGTTTGTTACTGATTGTCGCATGTTACGAATTGTCGCCCCAATAAAAGGGCTAAAAATTGAGGATCTTGTTAACTTATCCCCTTCTTTTGGAATTTGTTAACTAAGGCATCGGCAAGTAGAATACGCTTGCTCCGCTTCGCTCCCCTGAGCTTATAACCGGTACGAGAGAAAAAGTGCACATAAGTTTGTGTTTGCCGCTTAAATTATTGTTACGCAGGGGCGGATTTACTTCTTTGGTACTTTTTAAGAAATCCGTTTTTCGCCCACCGATATATACTAATTTTGGTACTAATCTTGGTGCCAATATATACTAATTTTGAGGGGGGGGGGGGGGAGCGCGCGCCGAAAAAACGCGATTTTTTGGGCAAAACTTTTCAAAAGTGCCTAAAAACGCCTTTTATGGACTGTTTTTTCAAAATTTTGCCTTTCAAAATTTTGCCCCAAAACAGGGACTAAAATGTGCTTAGGGAGAGCTCGAAAAACCAGTTGGGTCAATCTAAAAAAAAGGTCGACAAAATTTTTGAAAGTTCTTTGAAAATCCGCCCCCCTCGAGAAAATCCTAGATCCGCCCACTGTTGTTACGAATTGTCGCTTGTTAGGAATTGTCGTTTCACGCTTTTATTTGACATTGGCAGTCCAATTTTTTTAATTAATCAAAATTTCACTAAACAAAAATTATTTGAAACCTTTTAATTGGCCATGGGACCATTCAGGGCTTTGCCCGCATATACGAGTATTCTTGTTAATTGTTGTGACTAATTTTGAGACTTCCTCAGTCGCTTTTGTTATTTGTGGCAATGGCTTTTGACTATTTCTAACTTCTTTTCTCAATAATGACAACTAGATCGACCAATTGCGATTATGAGGTCTATTTGAGCAGGACACACAAACCCTTTCAAACATCAATTTAACATGCCGAGCACCATGTAATGTCTTAGTTTGCTAGACTAGGCTTTGTTAACTTGAGCGGTGACTTATTGTACTGACCTGACCGACCATTGAATATTAGTTTGCAGCTCTAAATAAAAACAGCTCGAAATGGCTTCGGCTCAGCAGCAGATTCACGATACGAATACCGAGTCGGTTGCAGCAACTCGGCGAATCCGCGCTCTCGCCGAGCAGAGCCGAGAAGCGGGTATTGAAACGATGGGTGAGCTAGACCGCCAAGGCGAAGCGCTAGACAGGGCCGAGAAAGGTCTGGATGAAATCAATCATGACATGGACACTGCCGAACAAAACTTAGATGAGCTGGAAAAGTGCTGTGGAATTTGTCTGTGTCCATGGAATAAGAAAAGCCGTAGTAATAACTACAACAAGCACAACAAGAAACAGGGAAAGGAGAAAAAGAAGGTCGCTTATAGCTCGGAAAATGTTACGACTCAGCCTGGTTAGTTTAGCTAAGGTTGCTCAAATACTGCCCGAGGATGGAGCGCAGCGCATCAACTTACAATTTATTCTTTTTTGCAAACTCAAAAAAGTATAGCTTTTTTCACAACTGAAAAGAACCACATTAGAAAGGCAAATGCGCCCTCAAATTATCGTGATATGCGCCAGGGACGAATATAGGCTAAATATATGGCAGTTTGATCGCGCCGAGAAACCACTTCTCTTAAGCTTTTGATTCTTGCTGGGTTTTTATAAATGTTGGTTGAACTCAATATTGTAATATCAATATTGTTTTTCAATTTCATTTTTTACTACTATATAAACAAAGCCCTAGCTCTTAGTAGTTTGTTGTAAATTAGCGTTTAGTTTCTCCCGCGCACGTTCAAAAATATGAACAAATTTGAAGAAAAAACTGAACCATAAATTCGATTTTTTTTTCTTTTTTTTTCAACAAAAAACTTGGGTCAGAACCTTCTGTGCTATTTGCTCAGCAACTGGTTTTTCTTCTACCCTATGGTATCTACTAAGAATTGTCACCTCTTTAAATAAAAGATTTAAATAAGCACAGAGCTTTCTCTTCATAATTCGAATTTCGCTACCTTCTGATATGTTGAAAGTTCGAATGCTTAATCTACTTAAGAATTACCCCCTCCCTTTTTTGAAAAGAGGAAAAGAGGGGGGGGGGGGTAGTTGTTAAGTAGCTCCTTTTTTCATTTAAATAATAAACCTTTTAAGGCAACACCAACACCCCTGCCATGTTGCGAGTGGCGAACGATGAACAAGAAGACGAAATGGAGGAGAATCTAGGAGCTGTAGGGGACATCACAGCCCAATTGAAACACATGGCTCTAGATATGGGGGAGGAATTAGACAGGCAAAACGAGCAGATAGGCAGGATGAGCAACAAGTCAGAGGCTAATAGAGACAGGATCCAGAATGCAGATCAACAGGCTGGAAATATACTCAAGTAGATAAAAGACCCGATGATTCAGTTTATTTTTCCAATACAGTCTGAACCAGCAATGTGCTATCTTGGCACTAATATCACGCGTCCAAAAATATCCAATAACACTACCGATACTACTAGCTTTAGCATCACTTCATCCGTGTGTCAAAGGAGATCAAAACAAACTCACCTTTTCAAAATTATATTTTCTGTAAATTTGCAATGAATAGAATGACATATTATGAATAGAAAACATTGTTTATCTGTCGATAATTGAGATAATTCATTAAGTTTGTTTCAATACGCATGGAATTTTAATTCAGCTTATTTCCAAGATGTTTCTCGGCAGAGATCTAGGGTTTTTAAGGGGGGAGGCTAATTGTTTCGCAAAACACTATAATATGAAAAAAAATTTAAAATTTATGTGGCGAAATTTTGATTTAAATGAAAACTTTTTTGAGTATTTTTCAGTCTGTTTTGACCGCAAAACATTTTTTTTTCGAAGCGCCCTCTTCACCTTACTTTTTGGGCGCCATAGGCACCTCCAGATAATGTTTTGGGTTCATCCGACCATAAAATATTACCAGAGCACCAAAGAGCCTTGTGGGTGGTAAGTCGAACATTATTTCAAAGTTATGGATCAATGCTGACTCAAGGACTTGATGAAACTCGCAAAAAAGTCTGTCATTTTCAAAATGCAATGGGTAAAAGAGTGCCATAGGCACCTCCAGATAATGTTTTGGGTTCATCCGACCATCAAATATTACCCGAGCACCAAAGAGCCTTGTGGGTGATAAGTCGAACACTATTTCAAAGTTATGGATCAATACTGACTCAAGGACTTGATGAAACTCGCAAAAAAAATCGGTCATTTTCAAAATGCAATGGGTAAAAGAGTGCCATAGGTACCTCCAGATAATGTTTTGGGTTCATTCGACCATAAAATATTACCAGAGCACCAAAAAGCCTTGTGGGTGGTAAGTGGAACACTATTTCAAAGTTATGGATCAATACTGACTCAAGGACTTGATGAAACTCGCAAAAAAATCTGTCATTTTCAAAATGCAATGGGTAAAAGAGTGCCATAGGCACCTCCAGATAATGTTTTGGGTTCATCCGACCATAAAATATTACCAGAGCACCAAAGAGCCTTGTGGGTGATAAGTCGAACACTATTTCAAAGTTATGGATCAATACTGACTCAAGGATTTGATGAAACTCGCAAAAAAATCTGTCATTTTCAAAATGCAATGGGTAAAAGAGTGCCATAGGCACCTCCAGATAATGTTTTGGGTTCATCCGACCATAAAATATTACCAGAGCACCAAAGAGCCTTGTGGGTGGTAAGTCGAACACTATTTCAAAGTTATGGATCAATGCTGACTCAAGGACTTGATGAAACTCGCAAAAAAGTCTGTCATTTTCAAAATGCAATGGGTAAAAGAGTGCCATAGGCACCTCCAGATAATGTTTTGGGTTCATCCGACCATAAAATATTACCCGAGCACCAAAGAGCCTTGTGGGTGATAAGTCGAACACTATTTCAAAGTTATGGATCAATACTGACTCAAGGACTTGATAAAACTCGCAAAAAAAATCGGTCATTTTCAAAATTCAATGGGTAAAAGAGTGCCATAGGTACCTCCAGATAATGTTTTGGGTTCATTCGACCATAAAATATTACCAGAGCACCAAAAAGCCTTGTGGGTGGTAAGTGGAACACTATTTGAAAGTTATGGATCAATACTGACTCAAGGACTTGATGAAACTCGCAAAAAAATCTGTCATTTTCAAAATGCAATGGGTAAAAGAGTGCCATAGGCACCTCCAGATAATGTTTTGGGTTCATCCGACCATAAAATAAAGGTCGACAAAATTTTTGAAAGTTCTTTGAAAATCCGCCCCCCTCGAGAAAATCCTAGATCCGCCCACTGTTGTTACGAATTGTCGCTTGTTAGGAATTGTCGTTTCACGCTTTTATTTGACATTGGCAGTCCAATTTTTTTAATTAATCAAAATTTCACTAAACAAAAATTATTTGAAACCTTTTAATTGGCCATGGGACCATTCAGGGCTTTGCCCGCATATACGAGTATTCTTGTTAATTGTTGTGACTAATTTTGAGACTTCCTCAGTCGCTTTTGTTATTTGTGGCAATGGCTTTTGACTATTTCTAACTTCTTTTCTCAATAATGACAACTAGATCGACCAATTGCGATTATGAGGTCTATTTGAGCAGGACACACAAACCCTTTCAAACATCAATTTAACATGCCGAGCACCATGTAATGTCTTAGTTTGCTAGACTAGGCTTTGTTAACTTGAGCGGTGACTTATTGTACTGACCTGACCGACCATTGAATATTAGTTTGCAGCTCTAAATAAAAACAGCTCGAAATGGCTTCGGCTCAGCAGCAGATTCACGATACGAATACCGAGTCGGTTGCAGCAACTCGGCGAATCCGCGCTCTCGCCGAGCAGAGCCGAGAAGCGGGTATTGAAACGATGGGTGAGCTAGACCGCCAAGGCGAAGCGCTAGACAGGGCCGAGAAAGGTCTGGATGAAATCAATCATGACATGGACACTGCCGAACAAAACTTAGATGAGCTGGAAAAGTGCTGTGGAATTTGTCTGTGTCCATGGAATAAGAAAAGCCGTAGTAATAACTACAACAAGCACAACAAGAAACAGGGAAAGGAGAAAAAGAAGGTCGCTTATAGCTCGGAAAATGTTACGACTCAGCCTGGTTAGTTTAGCTAAGGTTGCTCAAATACTGCCCGAGGATGGAGCGCAGCGCATCAACTTACAATTTATTCTTTTTTGCAAACTCAAAAAAGTATAGCTTTTTTCACAACTGAAAAGAACCACATTAGAAAGGCAAATGCGCCCTCAAATTATCGTGATATGCGCCAGGGACGAATATAGGCTAAATATATGGCAGTTTGATCGCGCCGAGAAACCACTTCTCTTAAGCTTTTGATTCTTGCTGGGTTTTTATAAATGTTGGTTGAACTCAATATTGTAATATCAATATTGTTTTTCAATTTCATTTTTTACTACTATATAAACAAAGCCCTAGCTCTTAGTAGTTTGTTGTAAATTAGCGTTTAGTTTCTCCCGCGCACGTTCAAAAATATGAACAAATTTGAAGAAAAAACTGAACCATAAATTCGATTTTTTTTTCTTTTTTTTTCAACAAAAAACTTGGGTCAGAACCTTCTGTGCTATTTGCTCAGCAACTGGTTTTTCTTCTACCCTATGGTATCTACTAAGAATTGTCACCTCTTTAAATAAAAGATTTAAATAAGCACAGAGCTTTCTCTTCATAATTCGAATTTCGCTACCTTCTGATATGTTGAAAGTTCGAATGCTTAATCTACTTAAGAATTACCCCCTCCCTTTTTTGAAAAGAGGAAAAGAGGGGGGGGGGGGTAGTTGTTAAGTAGCTCCTTTTTTCATTTAAATAATAAACCTTTTAAGGCAACACCAACACCCCTGCCATGTTGCGAGTGGCGAACGATGAACAAGAAGACGAAATGGAGGAGAATCTAGGAGCTGTAGGGGACATCACAGCCCAATTGAAACACATGGCTCTAGATATGGGGGAGGAATTAGACAGGCAAAACGAGCAGATAGGCAGGATGAGCAACAAGTCAGAGGCTAATAGAGACAGGATCCAGAATGCAGATCAACAGGCTGGAAATATACTCAAGTAGATAAAAGACCCGATGATTCAGTTTATTTTTCCAATACAGTCTGAACCAGCAATGTGCTATCTTGGCACTAATATCACGCGTCCAAAAATATCCAATAACACTACCGATACTACTAGCTTTAGCATCACTTCATCCGTGTGTCAAAGGAGATCAAAACAAACTCACCTTTTCAAAATTATATTTTCTGTAAATTTGCAATGAATAGAATGACATATTATGAATAGAAAACATTGTTTATCTGTCGATAATTGAGATAATTCATTAAGTTTGTTTCAATACGCATGGAATTTTAATTCAGCTTATTTCCAAGATGTTTCTCGGCAGAGATCTAGGGTTTTTAAGGGGGGAGGCTAATTGTTTCGCAAAACACTATAATATGAAAAAAAATTTAAAATTTATGTGGCGAAATTTTGATTTAAATGAAAACTTTTTTGAGTATTTTTCAGTCTGTTTTGACCGCGCCCTCTTCACCTTACTTTTTGGGCGCCATAGGCACCTCCAGATAATGTTTTGGGTTCATCCGACCATAAAATATTACCAGAGCACCAAAGAGCCTTGTGGGTGGTAAGTCGAACACTATTTCAAAGTTATGGATCAATGCTGACTCAAGGACTTGATGAAACTCGCAAAAAAGTCTGTCATTTTCAAAATGCAATGGGTAAAAAAGTGCCATAGGCACCTCCAGATAATGTTTTGGGTTCATCCGACCATAAAATATTACCCGAGCACCAAAGAGCCTTGTGGGTGATAAGTCGAACACTATTTCAAAGTTATGGATCAATACTGACTCAAGGACTTGATGAAACTCGCAAAAAAAATCGGTCATTTTCAAAATGCAATGGGTAAAAGAGTGCCATAGGTACCTCCAGATAATGTTTTGGGTTCATTCGACCATAAAATATTACCAGAGCACCAAAAAGCCTTGTGGGTGGTAAGTGGAACACTATTTCAAAGTTATGGATCAATACTGACTCAAGGACTTGATGAAACTCGCAAAAAAATCTGTCATTTTCAAAATGCAATGGGTAAAAGAGTGCCATAGGCACCTCCAGATAATGTTTTGGGTTCATCCGACCATAAAATATTACCAGAGCACCAAAGAGCCTTGTGGGTGATAAGTCGAACACTATTTCAAAGTTATGGATCAATACTGACTCAAGGATTTGATGAAACTCGCAAAAAAATCTGTCATTTTCAAAATGCAATGGGTAAAAGAGTGCCATTGGCACCTCCAGATAATGTTTTGGGTTCATCCGACCATAAAATATTACCAGAGCACCAAAGAGCCTTGTGGGTGGTAAGTCGAACACTATTTCAAAGTTATGGATCAATGCTGACTCAAGGACTTGATGAAACTCGCAAAAAAGTCTGTCATTTTCAAAATGCAATGGGTAAAAGAGTGCCATAGGCACCTCCAGATAATGTTTTGGGTTCATCCGACCATAAAATATTACCCGAGCACCAAAGAGCCTTGTGGGTGATAAGTCGAACACTATTTCAAAGTTATGGATCAATACTGACTCAAGGACTTGATGAAACTCGCAAAAAAAATCGGTCATTTTCAAAATGCAATGGGTAAAAGAGTGCCATAGGTACCTCCAGATAATGTTTTGGGTTC